AGGCTTAAATTGCCAGGGAGAAGTTTCTCGTAGCTGACGATATTTTAAAAGTCTAACACCAAAACAATATTTCGATAGCTTTCGTTCAAGCAGCCCTGTTATAACAACACCGTATAAAAATTTTTCAATAGCTTTCAAATCCGAGAGTACTACACTTGTATTTGCCGTAGCCGATATAGCCGTCATTTCAAAAACTTATATAGTATACAAATAAAGATCCATATTGGTCCTTTCTTTTGGATTAAAAATACAGTAAACAATAATAAGTACTTTCAATAAAGAAATTATACGAACTGCTATATTATATTTTTTTAAATTTAGTTTGAAGCTGCTTATAATGCATAATTAATTATATGCTTAAGCCGAATAAAGAGTAAATTTCTTTAAAAAAAAAGTTAAAAGCATTGAAATAATAAAAACAGGAACGGTGTGAAGAACATTTTTTGATATGTGGCTTAATACAAGTAACTTGGTACAATTACAAGCAACTCGGATTATTTATTTTTGCTTTCTGTTTTAGCAAATACACTATAAAACTAATCGATGCCGTACACCAATTTCTCGCAAGTGACAAGTTTAGCACCAGGTCACTGAGCTTTTTTTAGCTGCCCTTAACAGTTGTTGTGATATTTCATTTGAGGTTTGAATTGTTATTTTTAATAGCTCTTTTGTATTTTTAACACTTTAAAGAGTGACAAAATATTTATTGTAATTAATGAAAATATTCAAAGATAAAAGAAATATTTTGTAATGCTATACACATATCTTGGAGAAATCATCTTTTATTAACTTACCTTTCATTTAATGTCATAGAACTTATTAATTTAACACGCATTATTTTATTGTTTCACTTTTGCCAAACTTATTGCAAAATTATCTTTTATTTCGGTTTATATACAGTAAATTTGTTAATGATATAATTTTATTGATTGAAGGCAATTTTTTAATTTTACATTAATTATTGTTCAGTAATTATTTAAAATTGTTTTTATTTTATTATTTATCTGATCATTCGTATAATCATGTTAAATTAGTTATAGCTCCAAATTTGGGATGTTATGTTCTTGACCTAATGTTGAAAACATTTATACATTATTACATAGCATTTAGATTTATTTGGTAGAATTCATACCACTAATAGTAAATTAAGGGAACACGAAGTTTTAAATTGAATGAAAATTTAAACAATTTTCTTTTTTATTGGATTTGTTTCGATTCAGATATTTCTTCTTTTATAACGTCACAAGTAGAAAAATGACAGAGTTTGCTACTTATTAAACCGAAAAAATAATTCGAATCTTCATAACTTAACTTTTAAGATTAACACTGCGTGGTTTGCAGTATGCGAAAATTGCTATGAGGTGAATTCCATTAATCAACCATACGTTAGAAACTAAGTCTAAAATATAGTTGCTTCAACAGCTGTAAGTTAATCAAAATTTCCAAGCATTTTATAGCAAAATAGAACATATTTGTTTAAAATTTATTGAGGCAAGTAAATGCCTGATTTTTTTTATAAATTAGCTGATTGATTACCAAATCAATTTGAATTTCAATTTTAATTTCATTGAAATAAGAAATAATTGTATAATTAATTATTTCATCAAAGGCAGGATTTGCAATGCAATTTTAATGAGAATATATTTATAGAATATATTTGTAGCATAAATAGATTAAGAACATTTCTTAATAAAATATGAAAACATACTAATAAATACAGTGGCAGGACCATCTCCAATACATAAACTCATTTCTGATAATTTAATTTAGTTTAGTAACAGAAAGTTCATAATTTCGTTGAAAGAATTTTCGGATATATTTATATTTCTATACATACTTTATTGTATAATACTATTTAGTTAAAAAACATATAAACATGACATATAGTTTTTCTTTATATTTTTAATAGTTACATTATTAATATTTTTTAAATTATGAAGTTTCAGTTTTTATGAACATACTTGAATTATGACAAATCATTAATTAAAAAAATTATGACTAATTTGTTTTAAGAATTGAATTTAAATTGTTTTATAAAAAAGGTAAATAAATTACAAATTCCATTTCTGTGAGTACAGTAATTTATAAAATGCAACTAATAAATTGTAAGGGGCTTTATTTTTTGAATTACTTAGTAATATTTTGACAGTAAAAAAAATGAATTGTCGTTAATTTAAAAATTAGAACAAATTTATTTTAGAAATGTAATTTTCTAAAGTAAATAAGTAAATAAGTTATAAAAACCAGTTTTGCGTGTCTATAAAGTCTTACAATTACTTAATTTATAATGCTTTCATCGATGAGCTATTAATTAAGTTTGTGTCACAAAAAATTTAAAAGATAATATATATCCAAAACTCATTAGCACCAAATTACACTTATTCACTTTTTGTTGACTAGAGAAGAGATGTGCAATTTTCAAAATTTAAATCAGAATTCAGATATTTTACTTAATATAATTTAAATGTTCAAATGCATTTTTACAATTCCGCAAAATATGCATCTCGTTAAACTAACCAATTATAACGGGAAACAAAATGGCGTAGGGTTATCAGCCCTCTAATTATTAAGAAATTAATTAAAAGTTAGGAATTAAATTAAATTTAGAAGTTTTAACTTTGATTCGACCATTTATTTATGTTTTGGAGCATGGCAACAGGAAAAGCTCATATTGTAATAATAGTAACAAGCTTGCAATGAATAATTTACAGGACGTTAACAGTAACACGCAGCTTGAAAACAATACTCGGAACAAAATACGCTGATATGAATAAAATATCAAGAAATTGTGCGTGACATATATATAAAAAAAGCAAAAGGTTCAGATGATATTGTGCACATAAGAATGGGACACCCAAATATAATGAAACTTAAATGATTTTTCTTTTTAGAATAATTTTTTAAAGTGGAATTATTCAGTCCATTTAAGAAAAATAAAAAAGAAAATTTTAGCAAATGTTTAAAATTTTGAAAAATTGATTTTTTTTAAAAATTTAGTAATATTTTTTTTACAAATCATTAGCATAATTCAAAATACTGTTATCATTTAGTTAAAAAGACTGTAAAAAATTTTGTAATTCACAAAAGAAATTATGAATGTTAGAAGCAAATATACATGAAGACACATAATACATATATGTAACATTTTTGTGCAGTGATGTAAAATTTTAGAATGTATTTTTTTTAAATATTTCATATTGTTGGATTTAATATGCTTATATCATCATTATTATATTTACAGCGCAGTTGTAGTTAACATACGGTGCTATAACAATTAGACAATAAAGTTTAATTATTAAGTACTGAAAATCTTTTTAATGTATCGCAGTGTGTATAATAGTTATAACTGCGAGGTGTGTTTAAATACAATTGACTTATTTCGCAAAAATAAAAGAATAAGTAGTGTTGTGGAAAAATTTGTATTCATTTGAATATTTTTGGATTAACTTTGTTATGCCGGTGAAAATTTATAAATTTATTTTTAATATCATTTTCATTTTGTTCTTGTTAACAAATACACCCTTGGATAAACAGCTGGTGCTAAAAAACGTTTACTTAAAAAGGAAAGTTATTAGAATTTTTAATGTTCCTAAATTGTTTAATAAATTTCTCAATAATTGTTTGCATTGCTGCAATAAAAGTTTCTCAAAAATCTGGCAATTATTGCAGAAATCAGTCATTTGGAAGTTTTAGGAGGTAAATAAAAAAGTTTCTGAAATATACATTTTTAAAATTTTCGTAAAGTAGAAAAAGTTTAAAAAAGAAACCTTTTTGAAGCTTATATGTTAGATATTGTGAAGTGTAGAAATAAAAGAAATTGCAGAAACACTCTCTCATTGTAAAAAATTCCGGAACAAATTATGGTAAAAAGTATCGACACCTCAGGATACCGGTACTTTTTACCGTGAAATACAATTCAACCGGATACCATGTTACGGAACGAAAAGTCTGATTTACTGCAATTTTTTCAAAAATAATTACTGTAAAATCCCTGAATCACTGTAATTAAATAAATATTGCTGTCAAAATTACGATATATTTTAGAGAAAGAAGGAAATTTATGGCAAAATATATTTTGGGGGATGATGCCTGTACTTTATACCGTAATTTTTTACTGTGCAGTACATTTCATTTGTTTTGGGTGTCCTATTGTAAACCATTAAACGTCAAGAATACTGCAAATGCATGGCAACAAATATATATCGTTAAACACATGTACAAATAGGTATAAAAATTTGCATGAATTGTTAAAAATTTAAATTCAACCATTGCATCCATATTTTTTACAAAAAATTTCTAATTCATTGATAAGATTTTATGCTCACAAATATAAATAATATTTTTCAAATAGTGACAAAAAATGAAGTTAATATTTGAGTTATATAGATATATAGATAAGAGTTATATAGATTGAGTTATATAGATTATCTATATATTGAAGTTATATAGATAAAAAAATATTTGTTACTAGAGTGTTTGAGTTAAAACAGATATAAGAATGGATTTGTCGAAATTCGAAACATGGATATTGCTTAGGATGTATAAATGTATTTATCGGAAAATTTCGGAACAAGGTTAAAAAATTTAAAATGTAGTTGGCTTAAATGAATCTTTTTTAAGTTAGATCAGATTTCAAACGTTCACATTTTGTTATAGTTTACACCTCAAAAATTGTTTTTCATATTTATAGGAATTTAAAATTAAATGCAATTAAATTGTTACAGTAGAAATTGTAATTTAAAAAATATGTAGAAATGTATTTTTGCGTAAGTTAATAGATAAATTTTTTTCAGCCGTTCCAGTCAATAGTAAATTATTTTAACCAGCATATTAAGTTTTTTTCAATTTTTCTAGAAAATTTTTCTTTAGCTTCTGTATTTTATAATAGTTTAAGAAATATAAGAAAACATTTAATGATATATAACCATAATAATTAACTAAATACTTCCAAAATATTTTTTTAAAAACTAATTATTAATTTTTATGAAAATCCAAGCCTCGTTTTTATTTTTAAGTGACACTAAAAAGAATGGCGATGCAATAAACACATACGTAGAATGATCTTAAAATAAATAAGCAAAGTAAATGAAAAAAAAACATTACTGAGAATTGATAAATTTTTTTGTGTTGTTTCACTCACAAACAACATTATTTAGCATTTTAATTTCTTTGTGCGTACCACCTATGGTCAAATAATTTTCTTTTGCTTTATATACCAAGTTTAATACAATACTAGGGGGCGAAATTTGAAAGGAAATATTTAGTGTAATTAATACGGTGCAACGGTTGAAATTTTAGTGATGATAAAAATGCGAAATATTTATAACATAGAGCTGCCTAATAAGGTACACAATCTGGAAGCCTATCAACAATTTTGATTCGATTATCTGCTGATGTAATGTCCATCAACTTAATTTATCATCAAACCCTAGTATTTCAAAGAGAAACGAGTGGAAAGAAGTACGACTTTGTACTTTTACCTCTGGCAATTGAATTCCTTTAATACTGAAGAATAAGGTGCCTGCTTGCAAATTACATCGTTGGGAGCTGAAAAAAAGAATTTTTTCGCTCTCTTTTGTAAGAGAAGTTGTCTTAGTTCAATAATTGAGTGTTCTTCTTATAGTCACTCTTTGATTAAATTGTTCCATCGGAATCCTTCAAAAAATATCGCCTTTTTTTTCCTTCCCGATATCGTCTGTTAAAATAAGTGTCTGATAATGAAGATAATTCTCGTCTGCTTTTAAAGTTTACTATGCGAACGCGCATAGTTTGTATCATTCATTCATTCAGTTAAGTGGATGATGTATGTAGCACCTGTATTAAATTAACATTCACAGAGATATCAAGTTGCCAGTCTAAATTCCAATTTAAAGTCAAATATTTATGTAATTGTAATTATGTAACTGGCTTGCTGATGTTATAAAATAGTCATAGAACAGGGTTTCTTGCTAAGATGCGAAGTTGGAAAAGAATTTTTTTTCTTCTAAAAACAAATGTCGTAGTTTTACTTTCAGAAATTTAGAGAAAATAAGTAAATCTATGATTAATTTTCAATCTCAATAGCAGATTAAATCTTAAAAAACTTAAATTGAAACTGTAGAAAATTGTTTCGAACATCTAGATTAAAAATTAAGCGGAAAATGAATTTTAAAAATGAGTTGATTATTCTGTTCATTAAATGGAAAATGATGTTCTCTTCGTTTTTTGCTTTACATTATTTGTTTTATGATCAATTAAAAAATACGGCATATAAATATTTTAATTGCTTGTTTCTGAACTATAATTAACGCAAAATAAAAAAAAATAAGCAAGTTAAACTTATGCTGCTAATAAGGGTTAAATGAATACTTAGATGTAATTTAGTACTTAAATAAGTCAGCTTTGTAAATTTAGTATTAAAATGATTCATTTTTAAAATTCTTTTAATCAGTTCTTCTTCATAGCAATATAGTTCGTCTCATTTGAATGCAGAACAATTTTGCAATTCTTATTGATTGCAATCATGATTTGCGATAAATTTGTACTGCTATTTCAATATTGCAGTAACATATTAAGACAAATTTTAGGAAAATATTAAAATTTTGGTCGAGTTTAATTTTTATGTTTTGCGACCAATCCTATTACAATATTAGTACTTTTCAGTATTCCTATCTTTATAAGATTTTACTGATAAACGATATAAATTTTATCGGTTTCTTTTTTATAATAAAAAAATTTCAAGCTTATTCATAGAATAAAATTTTCTTAATGCAGCAATAAATCTTTCCTTTTATGATTTTTTTTTAATGTAACGAAAACGGTGGCGTTTACTATTATTTTCAGTATCTTCCACCCGAGTCATTACTTATTAGAACCTGTGTCTCAGGTATGCTGTTTGGAGGACTTGTTGGCGTGGTGCTGGTTTGATTACTTGCTGGTGTCGCCGCGTTACTGTCCTGATTTCCAGCAGCGTCAGAATTAGGTAGTTCTGAAAACTCAGCAATATTGGCCAAAGGTTGAGCGACGTCATCATCCTCGTTGTTACCACCCGATTCACCTGACTCTACATCTACATCTTTTACGATGATCTTTTGGGGAATGTCTGTAAAGTGGGCTTCTGAACAGAAAACTTTTATAATGCACAGAACTGCCCCAATACCCAGAAGAATGAGACCGACTGACTGCGCTGTGGGTACCATGGCACCGACCCCAACGAAGATGAGCACCAGACCGGTGATGAGGAAGAGAGTACCCATGTAGATCAGGAACTTCCGCCTCTGTCTGTCCAAGTCAGTGTCGTATCTCCTGCGGCGGCGAAACGCCCTGACACCTGCATAGTGGCTGCCTGTAGTGCTGATGCTAGGTCCACCCCGTTTCGTGAAGCTTCTGTTACGACCATTTATCGATGAGGTGCTCGAATGGTGACTCTGAGGTAAGTTGAAGCGGCCGAAAGTCTTGCTTTTTTTGCGACCTCGCCTCACGGCGACTGCAGGCATCCCAGAAATCATGTTTTAAGATCTGGAAAGACAAGAAAAAGCAGTTTTAACAAATGTTGAGTAAATAACTAGTATTGTTAAAACACGAACTAGAACTGGTTAGAACACAACTTTTTTTAAAAAAAAAAACTGCCAATACTAACGTTAAGAAATTTAACAACTTTTAATTATTTTAAACATAACAGTGTTAACAAAAAGAACATCATACCAAGGAACAAAACAGAAAAAACATCAGTGGCGTAACTAGATCAATGGTTATCGCATTTTAATTTATTGTCGTTTTCAAATAAATGATCTAGTTCATCGCTTTTTAATTTATCCTCGTTTTCAAAATAAATGATCTTATAGTTCATCGCTTTTTAACCAGTATTAGTTTCTATAAATATTCGTGATTTTTACGATTATTGTTTCACATCTGCATTCTCAATTGAGTACAAGTACATTGCACTGTAAAAAATTTCGGATCAAATTGCGGTAAAATGTATCAGCACTTTGGATGCATCAAACGTAAAATTAATTTCTTCGGTAAAATATTTTACCGTAAGTCTTAAAATATTTATTCAATTAGATCGATTCAGTGATTTTATGGTATTTATTACTATTTTTTGTTCCGATCTATCTACAGATAAAAATCCACAGATTTTTTGTTCCGATGTATGTCCCGGTAAAAAAGGATTTTCTGGTAAAAAGTACCGGCATCCTGAGTGCTGGTACTATTTATCGTAATTTGATCCGGAGCATGTTACGGAACAAAAAAATCTGATATACATTAAATTTTACAGTAATAATTACCGTAAAATCACTGAATCTCTCTAATTAAATAAATATTACTTTAAAAACTACGACAATATATTTTAAGGTAAAAATGGATTTTACAGATGATGCACCCTAAGTACCGTTACTTTATAGCGTAATTTGACCCGGAATATTTTTACAGGAAAGGAACTTAATGAAAATGGCTAAGATTACAAGTAATATAACGAAAGGAATTAGGTATAAAAATTAAGAAAAACCGAACACTACAAAGTTAATGTCCAAAAATCGAATTTCCAGAATCAATCTTACATATCAATGTACCGAAACACAGAGTTTGTGCTGAAGACTCGTATCTGAAGCACTGAAAAATAGAAAGATTCGAATTCTTCGGATAATTCGTATAAACGGATAAATCGAATTTTTCGACATCTTACTGTAAATCGCCGTTGTATATTCAAACTTGTCTGTCAATATTTAATCTAACCACAAATAAACTATTAAACGCATGATTATATTATGAGTTGTATTTTAAAAATACTTTATGGAGGAGGGGAAAAAACGAAACCACCGCTATCGAGTAACTTCTTATACTGTAAAGTCGTAATATTACGAATAGAAATTAAAAAAAATCTATACATTCGAGACTCTACCTTGCACACAAAACGATCTTAGTTTATATTACTTGTCGTGCGCTACATAACTAGGGCCGGGATAGTCTGGTCGGTAGGACGCTGGGGCCATGTCCGAGAGTTCGTGGGTTCGAACCCCACCAGCCGAAGACTTCTCGTGTAGTAAATGGTGACTGATGCACGTTAAATCTGTCGAGTCGCAAAGTCCTGGTACTGGATTGGAGATCAATCGTTCTCTGATTCATTTCAAAATTACGATCTGTGGATGAATAAATGAATGGATGTATGAATGGGTCCGCCCTATAAGCGGGTGTGACGTATGGGTGTGGCAGAAGTCGAATTCTTGGCCAAAGATGGCGCCACTGAACAACAAGAATAATCGCACCCCTCTGCCTAAACAAGGCATACGATCATACGCCAATACGGATGCTACCCTATTACGGACGGTTTCTTCGTATGCTTCTGAACACTTCCTAATAAGGAAGCGCCTCTAGCCGCGTACAACAGCATTTCTGGGCATGAGTTCCTATGCAATTTTAATCTTGTTGATGTGGCGTAACTCTCCTAGCAGTTTGCAACATTTACGCAACCTCCTGTTATATATAATAGTTTTAAACTTGTACATTTCGACAAAAAAATGGACTATAAGTTTTATTTAAAAAAACGTCTGTAGCCTTACAATCAAAACTAATTTCAGACTTGAAATTTCCACGAACGAAATGCGCAACATCAAATATTTGTATAAATGGAACCCAAATTTCCCCCCTTGCTATTTAAGAATAATTCCACCAATAATGAGCACATATTACAATAATTTCAGAGTCATCGGCTAGAGTCAAACTAAACCCATCAGCTGTTTTATAAGTTTTTTAAACTCAAGTCTCATGTTTGGTTAGTTTTGTAGTAAAAGGTATAAATCTAAAACTAATATCAACAATACACATTATCATATTCCTTCTTAGGGATCTTAGAGATTTAGACTAAATACTAAGCATAATTTTCTTTTTATATTGTGAAAATACAGAGCATAGTCCTATACCAAATATATTATTCGTATATTTTAAGATATTGAGTGTTTTTGCGACTCAGCTGTTTCTATACATAATTTTAAACTATCAATTTAACGCAAAGAATCAAGAATTTTTATGAAATCAGTCGAATAGTTTCAGAATAACAAAACTTCAACTATTTTTTTTCTAAATTTTTATTTCTCGAGAACTATATATAGTCGGCAACTTTCAAACTTTTGATTTTGTATGTTTTTTTTTTAAATGATAAAATACATAAATGTCATAATATTCAAGTTTTCAAATCAAATAATAATAAATAAAAATCAATTAATAATAAATAAATGAATCAATTAATAATAAATAAATAATCAATCAAAAAAAAACTCAGTTTTGCATTGAGTTGTCTTAGGATAAATTAGTTTTGTAATTGTACACATTTTTTTTCTCCACGAAACTAATTTATTCTCTTAAATAGTACCAAAGATTCTGCAGAATAAGAAAAAAGTAAAGTTAACGTATTTTTCGAAAAAAAGCATGTTTATTCAAAGAAAGTACGTTTTTGTGTTCGATTTTATAACCGAAGTATTATCATCTTTACAAATCATTGATTATATTTAAGGTTTACCTCTTGAACCAATAAGATAGTAACGCTAAAAATATTAAATAAAAGACGTTAAAAATATTTAAAAAAAACATATGGAAATATTTTATCCAATGAGGTTAAGCGACACGCATTTCTTCATTTTATTGTTTTCTAAAGTTATCATCAGTTGAAGCATATAGACGAAGATAATTCGAAAAAAAAAAAGAAAAAAAAGCAAGAAAAGGGTAAAAACTGACTTTTTGAAAGGTTGCCAGTTGTCTATATCAAAACCTCCCATTTGAAACACAAAAGAAAACCTATTCTTTCAATTTTGATTTTTCTCTTTTTGCATTTTTTGGAATTCGGCCAAAGGTTGAGTAACTAAAAAGCCTTACCTCCATTTCTTTCATTTTGTTGAAACATAGAATTGATTCAACTTTCAGCAGTTTGTAAGTCTATATTACCGCGGATACTTTTGTTAGTTGTTTACGAGTGCGGATTATTGATTTATCGAGTAGTTAATCCAAAGCTATTTAATTGAGCTATTCAGGAAAACACCCATTGACTTATGAATAGTTTCAGAGAAATACTGAATGAATATGCTAAATGATTAAAGTCACTTTAATGAGGTAAAATTTGAAGTATATTAGGACCTAGCTTATTTGAAGTAATTGGGACTGAACTTATAATTGGGCTCTGATAATTAAAATATTCGATTTGTAATAGCAACATCATTATAAATAATTTCTGAAAATCAAGTTTCTCTTAATATCAGTGGTATTTAATTTTAATACAACCACTTAATAAATCCCTTTTTGTTTGAAAGGAATAATGATATTTTGTTTTAAAATTCACTTAAGCTAATTCTCCGGATAGAGGTACTCCTTTGCTCTTATTATGAATGAACAATTTGAATAAAGTTTGATTTGAGTAATCTAGTTATGAATCCTGAGCTGATTTCAATGATTTAGAAGCTAATTTTATTGATTTACATTAATTTGAATTTTTTTTTAAATTCCTTTTCCAATTCTATTTGCTCTACGATATCATATTTTTTTGGTACAGATAAAGTATTTTCTTTTAGACGAAATGGAAGCCATGACCATCAAACTTAGCAACAAAAGTACTAATAACAATATGAGTAAACGAAAAGAAATTGCATTTTCCACAATTCTTTGTCAACACAAAAGCAACCAACTTCAGCAATTAACGCAACATTTATTTGTTACACTAACATAAATGGTGATAGGTATATAGAGATGTCTTTGCTGAAGTCACTTCACTTGCTTGTCCATTGGTAATCAATTATTGATCAATCAGTTACAGATGAACCAATAAGAATACGTTTTTATTGGAAAGGGAATACGACTTTTCCAATAGGAATAGTGCAAACAACTAGTTGACGTATTAAAGATGTTTAATGAACACTTTTACTTATTTTATGTGGGTTAAAATGGCAGTTTAAAATTTGGTATTAAGAAAAAAGTTTAATTTAAAAAAGTTTATTTTAAAAAAAGTTTAGTTTGAGTAAGTCTAGGAAAAAGGTTTATATGAGGTTATATATTTCAACTTGGTGCATTGCGTATTTTAAAAGCCAAAAGCTCTGAATAAAATTATATTGCATCAGCTATTGCTCCGTAAGTGGGTGTGGCTAACGCTTGTGAAATGTGGTCGTAAGTTACATTAATTGGTACGTAATTAGATTTGAAATATGGAATTCATAATTCTCTTTGAAATGCTTAACATTTTCATGATGAAATATTTTATTAACTGAGTCTGAGGAGCCAGTATGGGTAAATTGCAAAATTTCACCAATTATGGATTTTTTTAATGTTCCAAAAATAGTTTTATATGACTATTTGGATATTCTAAAAATAATTTTACAATTTTGCCCAGGACTCAATACTTGGAGGGATATATAGTTCATTAAATTCTAATAATTAGATCGAAAGTTATTCCTTGTCCTCTAATTTATTTCACTGTTTCAATGTGATTTCTTAAAAAAATGTCTTTAAACAGTTTGATTTGAAATTAATTT